CATTCTGCAAAACAAAAGATTCTTCAATGGACAGAGTTGTCACCTGAAATACAGCAATTTGGCAGAGCACCTACAGTTTCTGTTTTTCTGAGGGAGAATGAATTGCTGACAAAGAGGGTAAAGGAGATGGTTTGCCAGTTGGTACTAAAAAAGAACTGAGCCACTCATTCACATAATCGACACGGAAAGCTCTCCATCACCAGGCCAACAAGAGTGGAAGTGGGGGCTGGCAGCCTAGCAACAAGCCCCTTCTTTTACCATCTTCTGTACAATCCCCTCAGACTTAACACTAACCTTTTATAACATCTCCTCTCTCTTTTCTCCCTCAAGGCTGCCATCCCATGATGTTCATTCTAACCATATTTCACCTACATGTAAATGGAGAGACCATGTTATCTACCCACCATTAATGAAGCAAAAAGCAACAAATTGTCCCCCATCTTATGCTCCTTCAGAAATACCTTCTAAACAAAGGGGCAAGGAAGAGATAAGAGATACTTAAGACAGTAACAAATGCTTAGACTTCTGCTATGAAAATAAATAGGCTTTCTTTATAATAAAGGGAATGAAAATACTTATCACTGGATTAAAAAAGAAGGGAGAATGTATGTGTGAACCCATCTGGGAGCTACTATGTGCCAAGCACTACGATAATCTTAATTAATCTTTATACAGTATCTCCATGAAATAGACACTGTTATAATTCCCTTTGTACAGATATGAGATAACTAAGGTCAGGATAAGTGTTTTCCCAAAGCTAACAAAACTAGTACTTGAAAAAGGTGAATTATGAAACTAGATGATCTGATTTCACAGCCCATACTCTTAGCATTATGCTATACTAGATACACGTATTCTGAAAAAGGAAATATACTCCTTAACTTTTTGTATGTAAGTAAAAGTAAAAGTAGAAAGATAGGTATATCCCAGATGTCTCCTTATTCTGTCATATCAGAGTATAAGATAGTTGTTTTGTCTTTCAATGCTTTTAAAGTTGAAGGCTACGTAAATGTTAAGAACACTGAGTCTGGTTTAAATTCCACCTGAGCCTTAACCATGTGCCTAAGAATTTGTTACCTAATCTCTAAACCTGTTTTCTTCTCTGCAAATAGGAACAACTATAGCTACTTCAACTTTTCATTAAAATGGGGTTCCATATGTGTTAATATTTTTAAAAATTCAAGAAGTTTATTTTTTAAGTATACTCAGTCAAATGCAATTGTTGCCACCACCTAAACAACAAATCTGGGATTACAGGTGAACATACTTCTATTCAGAAAAATTAAGTTTATTTTAAAAGTGCCTAAATACTGCTATATCATGTACTTGAGAATGTATCTAAAAAACACTGCTACTTAAACACTTGTTCTACTAATGACAGAAGACTTTTTAGGAAGTCAGTATGTCAGTTATCCAATCTGTTAATAACTGAGACTGGATTATGTATCCAGATCTTTGTTCAACACTATAAAGGATATAAACAAGGAAAATACATGCTCTCTTAACTTCAGAAGTTTGTAATATTGTTAAGGCAAAGTTATCATGCATGAAAGTTACATAAAAAATAAAGACTTCTGTTTTATGATTCATGAGAGTAACAAACATTCAATGAATGAAAAAGATGAGTATAAACTGGAAAATAATAATGTGATGAGGCTCTGAGCTAGCCCTGAAGAGCAGTTAAGATTGAGACTAGTAAAGAGAAGTGAAAGAGTAATTCTGGATGGAAGGTAAATATGTAAAGACAAAGTGACAAAAACAAGCATAACTTGTACAAGGGACAGTGAAGAGATAAATCTAACTATGGAGACTATAACAAATAAATTTCATTGGAAAGGGCACATAGTTTATGAAAAGCTCAGCAATTTAGACAACCACTAAAGCAAGGTTCTTAAAACAAATCTTTAAACAATATTTAAATACATAGTCATGTTTAATTAGAGATATTCACAGTCCAAAAAATGTTACATATTTCAAAAAATTTTACTTTTGAGAAAACTACAATATTTGTGGCTCTACAGTTTTTCAAAAAGAGACTTAACTGTTAGAGATAAATACTGAAATATTTACAGAGAAAGTGATAACATTCCAGGATTTGCTCTGCTTCAAAAGAATGAGAAGGGATAAAGTGGGTGGTCGTAGATTGATGATTTTTTTTTTCTTTTTTTTTTTAATGAGACAAGAGTTTCACTCTTGATGCCCAGGCTCGAGTGCAATGACATGAGCTCAGCTCACTGCAACCTCCGCCTCCCAGGTTCAAGCGATTCTCCTGCCTCAGCCTCCCGAGTGGCTGGGATTACAGGCATGCACAACCAGCCCGGCTAATTTTGTATTTTTAGTAGACACAGGGTTTTTCCATGTGGGTCAGGCTGGTCTTGAACTTCTGACCTCAGGTGATCTGCCTGCCTCGGCCTCCCAAAGTTCTGGGATTACAGGCGTGAGCCACCGCACCCAGCAGGTTGATAATTACTGAAGCTTAAGGCTAAATAGAGGGAAGCCTGTTATACTATTCTGGTTACCACTTTTTGAGATGCTTAACATTTTCCATTACAATTTTTTTTTAATCTACCAAGTTAGAATATTGTTGGGAAAAGGATCAAGTCATATAACTATATTCTAATATTTCCACAAATGTATTTGCTACAATCACTTATGATACAAGACTGACAGAATGAATCAGACTATTACTGTCTACTAATCAAAGCTTTACAAAGAATTAATTCAAAAAACCCTGCTGGCTTAAGAGAAGCCTTTGTAACTGCTATACATTTTAAATCAAAATAACTTTGCCATGTTTATATTTTTACTTTTTTTAATTATAAAAAATTCTGGTTGAGATACTACTACAAATTAAACACAAACCAAATGAATTATTAAAAGAAATTAGTGCCAGTCCTAAAACCACTTGGCTTTGTGGTTTCAGATATTGAAAGGTAAATTTTCAAGCAATGACAACATTAACAACACATGCTGGCATGCATCCCAACAGTAGTTAATATCAGCAACACATGGCATACAACTCTCCACCCAGAAGAAAGAAATCAGGGGCTAATTCTATTTTTATTTCTTCCTGTTATCCACAAGCAGGTGGCAACATAACACTAGCTTCAATAAAGCAGACGAAGTTACCTTTCTCAAAATAGATGACCACTGCAATAAAGCCCCAACTCGTGCACAGGAAAAATTAATTTGCTTTTACCCTAGCTAAAAGATATTTTATGTAAAATCAACTGCAATTATTGAGTGTGCATTTCTTGAAGTTCACCAATAACAACATTCATTAAGCCCAGCACTGTGCTACATACGTTATCTCATTTCACTCTCAATGCAACCTTATTTGACAGATTAAAAAAACAGGCTTAGAAAGGTAAAGTTCCTTGGGAAAAGTCCAACTAAATGTGTTGGAGAGACAGTATCTGAACCTACATCAGCCCGATGTCAAAGCCCATAACTACCTCACTATATTGCCTCCCATAAAATCAAATCAGTCTATGATCAATGATGTATATTATGGACATAAAGATGCTCATATAACCTAACTGAAATTTAGAGTAAGCATCAACTCTTAAAGAAGATTTATAGGAGTGATTATCTTTTTAATAAACTTCTAATTCCATAAGATATACTCTATAAATAGAAGACTAAGTGATCTTCACTTCTCTTTATATTACTGCATTTCCCATATTTTCCATAATCCACTTTATAATGAAAATTCCTTTAATCAATAAGTCAATTTCAGTTTCAAATGGATTTTTCTATGTTGAATGAGATCCTCCAAGTTTTGCTAAATTTATTAGCAATGAGTTTCCTATGGAGCTTGAAAGAAATAAATTGTTATTTAATTATCTACAAAATTACACAACAGGAAATTAAAGTACTGCTATCAAATGTTAAAGCCAACAATCTACTATGGAGCAAAACGTTTACTGTTATAGAACCAGAGGTCTTCAGAACAAACACCGATCAGGCCTCAACACTTCCAAGTAGTGAATGAGAACTTACAATACCATTTGGCTGTCTCAGTCAGTTCTCCGATGTCTGATTTTAGTGACGGGTAAAAGCCATTAATTCTGAAAGTCATTCTTTTGCATGTATCTGTCCATCTCCTCCTTCCTCTCACATACCCTCTTACTGCAAGTTGACATGGACCACTTAGCATCTGACATTTTCTCTCCTGGCTCTAGTCCCTTCATACTTTCATTCTACATAACTGGTGTAATATACAACATTCAAGAGAATTGCAACAATAAAAGCCTGGCAAGTTATTTTGCAGTGTACCCTGGCACGCAAACATAAGTGATTAAAATGTTTTGCTGCTGTCACTAACACCCTTTTTATAAGCAGTTATCAATATAGCACAAATTGCTACTCAACTCACCTAAACCTCACCCAAACAAAGAGAAAATGAATTAAGTAACAAAAATGCCTATATGAAAGCTTCCTTGAGGTATTTAAAACAGGAAAGGGGGAACAGACCGTCAAAAGTCCAGAAAAATGTAACATTTTTTACTTTTCTCCGAAATACCTAGATTTTCTGTATAGGAAATGACCCTGGTCTGAACTCCACGCTGAGCAAGTGAAACGCCGGTGAATTATCGATCTGTCGTGGGAATCCGGTCTCCCTTCCTCCTTCCGCTGCAGCTACTTCTACTTCCCAGCAGGAACTGAGCGTCGAAATCCTTTAACACCAAGACTAAGCACTTCAGTTACCTCTCCGGGACACCCATTCAGCCCCCACCCCGTTACACCTGCGATGCTGACGTAGGCAAGCACTTCTTTTAATAATCTCACCCTGACAGAGTGAAGACCTACAGTATTAACTGCTGTGAAAGTCATCCCAACTGCGCTCTCAACTGAATGAGACTTTCCAAATCGAAGTGCAAGTTGCTGTAGAAGCCCCAGTGCATTCTTCTTTGAGAGATTAAAGCCCCAGAAAGGGCTGCATTTAAAATACACACACACCCCTTTCCCAGGGTTTTCTTAAACTACATTTGGAGAAAATGCTGCCCCACACAGACACACTTGCATTATCACCTTCCCCACCATTTCAGGCCCGGCTGCCCCGGAAGAGTCTGGTTAAAAGGAAAAGAGAGGAAGCGGGGGCTGTGTGTTACGTTCGCGATTTTGTCCCCCCAGAGTTTCAAGTACACATTACGCTCTGGCAGTCAGGGCTTCCAGAGAGGCACAAAGAAAAAAGAAAGAAAAGGCGCGGGGAGCCGGCTGGAGGATTCTGCAAGCACAGGCCCCGATGGAGCGCCCGTTCCGTAGATGGGATTTCCCTCCCTTTCCCCTCCCCCGCCCGTTCGGACCCGCGGAATTCCGCCCCCGCCGCGAGCCCGGAACAATGCAGCCGCCCATCCCGGGGACCCGTCACTTACCACCCAGGTCAGTGCACCGTTGCCGCCGCCCACGCCGGC